GATCTGGATGAGTCCATTATGGTCCACAGTGGTGAAAGGGTTAATCATACTTGTGAATAAACACAAACTTTTATATAGCTCTCATAAAATATATGTGCTTTATAACCATTAAAAAACCCAACTGAATTCAAAGTGAAATAAATGAGAAGAAAGCACACGGTGGAAGATCACCTTTGTCGGGTTATAAGCTTGTCACTTCCACAATAATTACAGACGTCCCAGGAGTAGGCTGAGCTCTCGTCAACACCCCTCACTCTAGCTACAAAACATAAAAACACAGGATAATAGCACTCAACCTAGATACAACAGAGAAGAAGCTCATGGAGATTTCATTTGCTATCTGAACTAGAAAATAATTAGTTGAAAATCTTCCAAACAATCTGAGACTAATAAATGGTGGCAATCCATTAAATCCGTTAACATATACCCCAGGGGCCTGCTCCTTCTCAATGTGGTAGGATCTAGGTAATGCACTTTTTAGAACATACACAGGTTCAAATTCATTGCATATCTTAAGAGCAGTAGACTATAAATCAAGGGCCATAACTCTCTGAAAATGTGTTGATACAACAAGTTCATGACACAGGCGAAAGTACATCCATGATGGATTAGATGTATGCTAAGCTCAGCCAATGTGTCTAGGGTGAGGGTACCAAAAATGGAACGATTCCCAAAATGGAACACTTTTGATAAATATGATGTAGTATTTTTATTTTGAAACATAAATGATGTGTATGTTATTCTTAATCAGAATTTACATATTTTGAAGCATTTTGAACAAGTTTCATCTCCCTACCTCTTTAAAGTGTTCTGTTCCCTCACCCTACAAGTAGTTTTAGGACCGACAGACACACAGACAGACAACCTGATTCCAGTACACCCTCCCTTCCACCTTACAAGGGTACAATTAGATCGGATAGAGAACAAACTGGAATGAAGCAGTTAACAAACTTACCTATTGCCTTGCAAAGTGAAAGATCAGGAAGCTCACTGCATATATTGGGGATAGTAATCTCCCCCTGAAGAGCTCTCCTCTCTGCCTCTATCATCGTTATCTCACTGTTGGTAGACAGGCAGGCGTCTGGTACATCAGTGATTGGTAGTATTTGAGAGTAGCCATCACAGCAGAGTTGTTCTGGGGAATCAATACACAATCAAGTATCTATCAGGTTATAAATAAACAATTTATGTTTGATATTTATTGAATATACTGTAACAGCAGAGGAGAAATGCACAGCCAGACCGGGATTTGAACCCAGGACCCTCCCATCTCTAGATGGATGCTTTACCAATTAAGCTAGTACCCGGTCGCCGGCTATCGATTCCGACCAGTTCTAATACAAACTGATCAGTCATATGTGGGATTATTAATTGTCCACGAACAAAATACAAATTTTGTTTAACTCTAGCAGAACTCGACAGGGTCGACTGTCGGTGGCATAACATTGAGGCAAATCAGCAGTCTATTGTATAAAGGAAGGATATTCAACCCTAGCTCATATTCATTAGGTGTTAGATCATAAGATCATAAAGCGGGTCATCACAAGATTTTAACATACTTTTGATTCAAACTTTTTCAAGGGGAATTACTCTATCACAAATGATGAGTTAAATAACTTCAGCATATAACCTGTTCCAAGTCAGATATGGGATGTGTGAAACACCTGAGATACAAACCTTTGTGGTAAAAGACGTCTTTGAAGAACATGACCTTTCCACAGACAGTGTTTACGATATCAAAGACTACCCTGACAGCACTGTAGCTGGGCGGGGGTTCAGAGGAGGGCACGCCGGACCACACATATACATAGCAGTGGGAAGGTCCTAAGTGCGGAGCTGTCCCAGAGCTACCTCTCGCATCAGCAACTCGTGTTTCTGATGGCTGTGAAACAGAAAGAGATTACACAAGGAAACTTGTAATGGTATTCTGTATAGACTCAGTGTAAAAATAATCATCTCTTTTTGTTAACAGCCCCTGCTCTATTAGATGCCCTAATTACCTGAACAATTCACCTGTTGGTAACCTAAAATTTTGCCCAACTCTGACATTTTACCTACCATAACAATGACCCTATCTATAAATATTACCCTTTCCCTAACATTCTACCTATCCTGACAATGACCCTATCTATAAATATCACCTTACCCCTAACATTCTACCTACCCTAAAAATACCCCTACCATATTTCTCCAATCACTCTTAAATGCCTATAATTACCCTGCCCAAATGATCGTCAGAGGACAAAATACTAAGGTAAGTATGAATGTACACTATTTGTGTCTAACTATTGTGCCTACTTACCAGTATGGCTAAAACTTTTGCAACAAAACAGAACCGTTTCAATTCCGCTGGTTTCTGAAAATAAAGTACACTGCCAAATGACAATTTAAAAAAAACGTTTATTTCACAGTTATTGTTAAATTTCCAAAATAAAATAATGTCCATTTGAGCCTATATTTTTAACCATTTTCATGTTCAAGCTCAAATCCTAGTTCCAGTGGAGAAACACTTTATAAAGAATTCAAATTACTTTCAGTTCTTTCTGTACATTGCTGAGTGTTTAAGCTGTCAGTGTTCCTATATTTAGTGTTAAAGTTGTCACAAAATCTGTGGGTAACAAGAACGTAGAATTGAGAAAAGTAATTGTTTTATGAACACATGACTCAAACTTGCTTTTAAACATTTCCTTTTTACTGTATTTACCCTACAGGCCTTTGACAGATCAGTAAGCGACAGAGGACGATACCGTGACAGTAGGGCAGGGGTATCTATTGGAGTTACGTCAACATTCGTGGAGTTATCTCCCTTCATTATATAACAAAATCCAGGTGGCTCCACGGTGCAGGCAGCAGTGCTCGGTGCTGGGAGTGCTTGCTCGCTCTCCTCACTAACTCCACTTGTTCCTGGTAGCACCTGGTCACTTTCTTGACTAAGTGTACTTGATGCAACACCAGACCAAACAGAATCAATCAAAGTAAACAAACTAAAGTCTCTGAAATGATAACAATAGGGGATGTCTTTCAGTCCAAAATAACAACAGGTTCAAAGGACATGTATCATCATTCAATAACAATATATCAAGGATAATGTCTTTAATTTTTAAACACCCACTAAATCAATACTTAGTATGGAACATATCCTTAGATGTATAAAATAGTCATGCGAATTGACCTGATTTTACAAAGACTGTAAGATTTACCATTCCCTGTCCAACTGTGTAACCTGAGGTCAGTAAAGGAGAACAC